ATATCTGTTGAGTGTCAGTGACAGTCTCGGTGTCATTGTTTTCTCGTTCGATTGAGTGTTGAGCTTCCATACCTGTCTCCGCGTTCAATTACACTTTGAGTTTCTTTCCGTGATCTGTTATTATTTTCAGGTCTTTCATCTCTGTCTCTTTTCTCTCGTTGAGTTCGGTGTTCAGTTTATATCGGTGTTTCCTTGGTCCTGTATCTTCCCTTGGTAGAGAGTCTGTCCTTGTATATCCTACATGTGCCTGAAATTACTATGTAACTCTCTTGAGTGCGTGAGAGTTGGTGAGAGTTTGTGTATACATGTGAAAGTGCACACCTGACCCGAGTATACGCAGGTGGGCGGATCAGCGTAGTGGGCGGACCAACATAGTGGGCGGATCAGCATTGTGGGCGGATCAGCATAGTAGGCGGACCAACATAGTGGGGATCAGCATAGTGGGCGACCAACGTGTTTCAAGAACATATATAAAGAAATGTATTCAAATATTGTTCTCAGAAGTACTCATATATTTGTCTACGTTTAAATGTGAGATTTTATTTTACCTCACACGTGCGGTTCATTGCCTGTTACCAGCGAATTCTTTTCAGTGCGCTAATGCACGCAAAGGAACCTTGCACATTTTCTGGGAATACGTTCCTGCGCGCTGATGTACGCCTCAGGTTGCGTCTAATGTCAGTCAATGGCTGCCAAAATCTGCATAGCAATACCTGCAAGCCAGTGCTTATGCAGCCATAGTCAGCAGTGTGCATTTTCCAGAGAATATATCCAACATATATTATTTTGTTATACTGTGCTATGCCTTTGAGAAAGATTTACTAAACCTTCACACGAGTGATGAGCCTTAATAAGATCAATATTTATAAAATCTGGTAAGGAAATTATGTATGTGTTTATATGAGTGGGAAATGAATACCCACAGCGTCTGTATTCAAGGATTAAGGACTACCATCAATGTTTATGGAGGTGGGTATGGAATATTGTCGTTGTTAGTTAAGTGCATAGGAATGCTGTCACTGTTGCATGAGTTAAGAATAATTATTGCCAATGTTTATGTAAGTGGATAAAACAAAGGCTGTCATTGATTATGACGATGGTTAGTGAATATTGCAAATGTACATATGAGTGGATACGGGATACTGTAGGTGCATATATAGTGGATAGTATTAGTGTTTACATGAGTAGGTAAGAGATACTCTTAGTGCATATATGAGTGGGTTGGGGATAATGACAGCTTTTATTATAATATATAAAAAACTGTGTATATTGAGTGGGAAAGGAATATTTTCAGTTGCTATGTGGATGAATAAATAAGACTGCTATACAGTGAGTCGATGAGGAATTCTGAAATATGAGCCGATAAGAAATATTGTTAGTGTTCATAGAGATAAGTAAGAAACTCTCAGTGTATACATGAGTGAGTAAAAGCGACTGAAAGTCAGCGATTATTGGAATTGGTGAGAAGTATTTGTGTTGCCACCCACATCAACCTCTAACTAAGCAGCAGTAAGCTCGTTCTTACCACTAACTTTGAAGCAGTTAGTGTTAATCACCCGCTGAAAAGCATTCAGCTGGTTCAGTTAAGAGAATACTATAATTAAAGTAATCATGAGGTTAAGCATATTACTGAAAATTTAATGAAAACATACACTCACACACACACACACACACACACACACACACACACACACACACACACACACACACACACACACACACACACACACACACACACACACTGCTCATGGAGCAGGAAGAGTGACCTAATAGCGGCCATTGGAGCTGTGACTCGACCCCTGCAACCACAACCACAACTAGGTGAGCACACACACACACACACACACACACGTCAACTGAATAATCACTGCAGTAATCGCGAGAATGGGAAATTTACGTGTAGCATTGAGGAGCATCAACAAGAAGGCATTTACGACACTATACACAACAATTGTCATGCCCATCTTGGAGTACGCAGCGCCTGTACGGAACCCGCATCTGGCAAAGCATGTAAAAAAGTTGGAAAAAATGCAAAAGGTTTGCAACGAAACTAGTTCCAGAGACACTAAAGGACAGAAGGCCCAGAGTTGTCATGATTACGACGTACAAAATACTGAGAGGAACTGACAAGAAGGGAAAGTCTGTTTGAGAGGCGGGACTCAGGTATACGAGGGCACAGATGGAAGTTAAGAACACAGAAGAGCCACAGGGATGTTAGGGAATACTTCTATAGCCTTAAAGTGGTCAGGAAGCGGAACGACCTAGACAGATATGATTAGGTATGATAGATCTCACGCAGCCAGGAGAGAAATTCGACACACACACACACACACACACACACACACACACACACACACACACACACACACACACACACACACACATACACATGCACACAGTCACTACAAAAGACTTAATATGCATATACGTATGAACATGCATGTATGTGGTGAGAGAGAAAGAGAGAGAGAGAGAGGAATGAATGCGAGTGTTTGTTTACTTAACTATTTGCAGCTACTGAAGCACAGGTATGCAGGTGGTGCTCTGCCTTCTCTGTACAATCTATCAGACGTCTTAAAATGTGTGTGTGTGTGTGTACTCACCTATTTGTGGTTGCAGGGGTCGAGTCCTAGCTCCTGGCCCCGCCTCTTCACCGGTTGCTACTAGACCCTCTCTCTCCCCGCTCCATGAGCTTTATCAAACCTGTGTGTGTGTGTGTGTGTGTGTGTGTGTGTGTGTGTGTGTGTGTGTGTGTGTACGTGTGCGTGTGCGTACCAGTATGTGTGTACACACCTAGTTGTGGTTACAGAGGACGAGTCATAGCTCCTGGCCCCGCCTCTTCACTGGTCACTTCTAGGTCATTCTTCCTGCTCCATGAGTTTTATCATACCTCTTCTTAAAGCTATGTATGGAACCTGCCTCCACTACATCACTCCCCATACTATTCCACTTCCTGACAACTTTATGACTGAAGAAATACTTCCTAACTTCCCTGTGATTCATTTGAGTCTTCAGCTTCCAACTGTGACCCCTTGATGCTATGTCCCATCTCTGGCACATCCTATCTCTGTCCACCTTGTCAATTCCTCTCAGTATTTCATATGTCGTTATCATATGCCCCGTATCACTCCTATCCTCCAGTGTCGTCCGGTCGATTTCCCTTAACCTCTCCTCGTAGGACATGCCCCCTTAGCTCTGGGACTAGTCTTGTTGCAAATCATTGCACTTTCTCTAATTTTCTTACATGCTAGGCTAAGTGTTGGTTCCAAACTGGTGCTGCATACTCCAATATGGGCCTGACATACACGGTGTAAAGGGTCCTGAACGATTCCTTCTGGAGATGTCGGAATGCTGTTCTTAGGTTTGCTAGGCGCCCATATGATGCAGCAGTTATTTGGTTAATATGCTTCTCAGGAGATATGCCCGGTGTTATACTCACCCTTAGATCCTTTTCCTTGAGTGAGATTTGTGGTCTCTGGCCCCTCTAGACTATACTCTATCTGCGGTCTTCTTTGCCCTTTCCCAATCTTCATGGCTTTGCACTTGGTGGGGTTGAATTCCAAGTGCCAGTTGCTGGACCAGGCCTGCAGTCTGTCCAGATCCCTTTGTAGTTCCGTCTGGTCTTCCTCCGATTGAATTCTTCTCATTTACTTCACATCATCTGTAAACAGGGACACTTCTGAGTCTGTTCCTTCCGTCATGTCGTTCACATACACTAGAAACAGCACAGGTCCTAGGACTGACCCCTGTGTGTATGTGTGTGTGTGTGTGTGTGTGTGTGTGTGTGTGTGTGTGTGTGTGTGTGTGTGTGTGTGTGTGTGTGTGTGTGTGTGTGTGTGTGTGTGTGTGTGTGTATGTGTGTGTGTGTGTGTACGTGTGTGTGTGTGTGTGTGTGTATGTGTATGTGTACGTGTGTATGTGCATGTGTGTGTGTGTATACTCACCTATATGTGGTTGCAGGGGTCGAGTCATAGCTCCTGGCCCCGCCTCTTCACTGGTCGATACTAATTCACTCTCTCCCTGCTCCATGATATTTGTCATACCTCTTCTTAAAGCTATTTATGGAACTTGCTTCCACTACTTCACTCTCCAGATTATTCCAGTTCCTGACAACTCTAAGGCTAAAGAAATACTTCCTAACATCCCTATGACTTATCTGGATTTTCAGTTTCCAATTGTGTCTCCTTGTTTCTGTATCCCATCTCTGAAACTTTCGATCCCTGTCCACCTTGTCAATGTCTCTTAGTATTTTATACGTTGTTTTCATGTCCCCTCTATCCCTCCTATCCTCTAGTGTCATCAGGTTGAGTTCCCTTATCCTCTCCTCATAAGACATACCCCTCAGTTCCGGGACTAATCGTGTTGCAAATTTTTGCACTTTCTCCAATTTCGTGACGTGTTTGACTAAGTGAGAGTTTCATACTGGCTCTGCATATTCCAGTATAGGCCTTACGTACACTGTCGTGAATGACTCCTTACTCAGATGTCTAAACGCCAATCTCAGGTTTGTGTGTGTGTGTGTGTGTATGTGTGTGTGTGTGGGTGTGTGTGTGTGTGTGTGTGTGTGTGTGTGTGTGTGTGTGTGTGTGTGTGTGTGTGTGTGTGTGTGCGTGTTTGTGTGTGTGTGTACGTGTGTGTGCGTGTGTACGTGTGTATGTGTGTGTGAGTGTGTGTGTGTGTACGTGTGTGTGTGTGTGTGTATGTGTGTGTACGTGTGTGTGTGTGTGTGTGTGTGTGTTGTGTGTGTGTGGCGCGCTGGGGTGGTGACGAGAGCATCACATTCCACCAGCAGCTGGACAGTGAGTGAGGCTGGCCGGGGTAGCGGGGGCAGCACCGGCCGTGTGTAGCGTCTTCGTACGTCGGTGATAGGCGGCGCCGCATCCCATCCCTCATCGACGATTGGTCGGTGGGCGCCCGATGGGCGTGGCGTGCCCAGGCTCCTCCCACGAGGAAGTGATTACATCGCAAACGCTGTGTGTGTGTGTGCGATGCTCGGCCAGGCCCGAGACTCGAGTCTTAGTGGTGTTCTATTTGGACCGGTCGCCAGTTGTGTTGAGGCTGTGCCCGTTACCTCACCCCCTCGTTAAGCCCGCAGTGACGATTGGGAACGATCCCCCCGTTGCCTCCTGCAGCGTGTTGGGCATTTAAGGGGCAAAACGAGGATAGTTAAGAGACTATCTCAGTATTAATGTTAATCACCGCGATGTAGTCAGAGGGTGGGCGGACGCGTGTAGTTCCTCTCGCGAACACATCCCACATGAGGGCTGCCTCGCACGGCAGGCAGGCTCGTCGGTTCTCTCCAGAGGAACCTTTTACCTGTTCCGTGCCTCTCGCCACCCCTCTGGACTGTAGCGTTGCCCTGCAGTGTGCCGTACATCCCCAGCAGTGAGCCAGGATGGATATGAGTGGGATGGACCAGGCGGGGCAGGCAGCCGCGGGGGGCTACATGAACCGCTGGTACGACGGCTCAGAGGGAGGCCATACCGGCCTCCACCAAGACTACTACAACAGTATGGCACAAGCCATGCACTGCGCCTATGGCAACAATATGGCCGGTACGTGGTTAGCTGTAACTCTTGTCTCGTAGTGTGTGTAATAAATATATCCCCTCATGCAAGCATATTTCTACCACCCTGAAGCAACTCGCCGAGAAATATTCGTAACTGTTTCCTGTGGATGTTATCTCAGAAATCCTTTCCTGTGTTTCCCAAAGTCATACCCCGACACACCTGGTGAATCTCCTAAATGTCATTGACTCGCGGAGGTGCATCCAGCACCTCAAGAAGCAAATAAAAAAAACTGTGATTAATAAAATTTATTCATGGAACACAAGAAGCCTTTAAGACAACATCATCTAAGAGAATCATGCCCGTGGAGACCACGCTTCCTGGCCTCTGCTAGTCCACACTTCAGCACCCACGCCCATAATAAGCGGTCCATCCCAGCGGTGGGCGTGCGGGCTCCGGTAGACAATTACCCACTACATCCCTTCCTACCCGTTCTATCCCCTCCCCCTAGCCAGTCCTAACCCTTCTCCCTACCCGACCTCCCTTCGTAGGGGAACTCGGGTAATTACATCACTAAGGTGTTATTATGATAGCCACTAACATTACCCCCAACGCTGGCGATAAATGTTAACAAGAGAATAAATGGCTCTACGAGTATAATGTGAATTAAAATTAACAGAGTTGTGGTTTGTACTCAAGTGGACTCCATCTGTGGAGGTGTAAATCAAGGTGAGACTGGAGTGTGAACTTCATTTCCAGAGGTGTAAACCAACGCGAGTTTGGACTGTGGACAAAAACACAAGAATGCAGAGCATGTCGTTATTTGCACAACGTTTCGCTCTAGGATGTTTTAGGAGCTCTATCGGCTAGGAAACGTTGTTCAAGTACAGGTGTTTGTCCACAGACCTGTCACAGACCTTCATCCAGTAATTCCTGAGTATTGACAAGCCTGGCAGAGTTAAACTAGCGCTCTACGAGGGAGAATGATAGCTGCAGGGAGATCAACGGGCTCGAAATGGGATTTATCAATTTACATCACTGAACCCGGCATTTTTGTGGGCTGTAGCGAGGGGCCGAGGCTATCATTATCCTTAACCGGGTTTTAGAACGTAATGAAGCTCAATAAAATGAAAATTCTCGAGCACTTAGCACCTGAGGGCTGTCTGCCTTCCTCCGAGCACTTACACGACAGACTCCTCGCAGTGCCTAACGTAAATAAATGCCATGCATAATTGATTAAACATTCATAGATTAGCTATACATGAAGTGCTTTTCATGCAGCAATACTGCGTACGAATTTCCATCATCTTGCAAATGTCAACATGTTGGCTTTCACGAGAAACAAAATGTATAACCATACCTACGTTGGCAACTGTCGTCTCAACATGAATATTCTTCACAGGAATATTTTTTTAACGCTTTATGAATAATATAGAAATATTTAACCTGAACAGCGTTATTCACTGCTCACTGAGTCTTTTGTAAACATAATGTTGACTAGCGCAAACATACACTGAAGTGTGTGTGTGTGTATCTCTCAGTGCACTTTGTGTCTATACCACAGTGGACGTACACTGAGGTGTAAGTACATCTAGTTTTGCTTACACTGAAGTGTGTATATCTCGGTGTATATTCAAAGGTGTATCTGCCTTACTGTTTACATACATTGAGGGCTGGCTTAATCCCAGTTTTAAATATTAATGTATTGTTGATGCAACTGTACATGTGAAATCCAATCCTGATAACCAACGTTCAGTCGACAGAGCTTAAGATTAACAAGCCAGAGAGATGTATCTCTTCGTCTATATACCACGTGAGTGTACTCTCTGTTTTTACCACTAGAGTACACTTGCTAGTAAGCATCTAGGATAGTGCACCAATATGATACTATAATAGTCAATCCTTAAACATAATGCTCGTTGTGAACTAACACTAAATCTTACTGAATCAACACTACCAAAACCACCAACACCACCAGTAGTTAAGATGAAGGACAGCAACATTCATACAGGCATGAAACACCTGCATGTAAGGGTTTCTTACCGAAGAACATCTGCCACGGTGACAAAATCGTTTAGTATTGACTGTTGCACTTTCTCGAGAGCGAAGATCATCTTTGTGATACCCGGGATGCTGAAGGAATCTTTATTGACACGAGTGATTAACTTGCTTTAGTGTAAGTTTTTTCGTGTTACTAGTACTATATTTACTACTACTACTACTACTACTACTACTACTACTACTACTACTACTACTACTACTACTACTACTACTACTACTACTACTACTACTACTACTACTACTACTACTACTACTACTACTACTACTACTATTACTAATACTACTATTTCTACTACTATTGTATTATTGGTATTACTCTTCCTTTGTTTCTACTACTACTACTGTTGTTTTTATCGTTACTATTATTACTTCTATTATTATTGTTTCTATTATTCTTTTATTATTATTATCATTATTATTAATATAATTATTACCACTGCTATTACTACTACAGTTACTACTACGATTACATATACTACTGCTACTAGTAATGCTGTCAGTATTGCTTCTACTAATACACTAATACAACTGTTACTATTACTGTTATTATTATCATTATTATTATTTTATTATTATTATTACTGGTACTATTACTATTGCTACTACTAATACTATTACTTTAATTATTGTTAAGGGGCTTCTCAAACTTTACAATTATAAATAATACTTATAATAATAATATTTATACTAATACTGGTATATACGAGTTCAATGAATGCAATATTTTTTTTTTTCAATAAAAACAAAAACGTAACTGAAAAACAAAAAATTTGTTCACGTTGGTGGAGGGCTTCTGATCCAAGGAGCTGAATCAACCGAAATTATCTGCCATCCTTAAGAGAATGACTTAATATTTACCCGCAACGAGCGCAATATTGACCTTGGTGAAGGTCAAGGAAAAATACTCTCGCCAAGTAGCGTTTGAACTTTCTGGGTTAAAACAGGCTTTGGAATCAAGGGACTGGAGCCAGCCTCCACTTCTTTGAATCCAAATCATCTGCCACTCATCTTCCACAGGAACTTCATGATCCTTACAGGTTTAGCGCTTCCCCGTGGATATTATAGAAGTAGTAATAAAGCAACAACAACAACAACAACAACAACAATAATAAAAATAATAATAATAATAATGCTTAGAAGTGTATATACAATATGGTTACATCCATTTTTCTGCCAGGAAAATTGTATATATATTGTACACTGTAAGATGGATCATACATAATATGTAACAAGTGTTATGTGTTCGTTACCTTCGTATTAGTTACATTCGATGTAATGATGGGTTGGCTCTTTGTGGGGTAATAGTCATGTCTACAATACCAGAGTTATTGAGGTGACACTGCACCTGTGTACACTAACATTAACAATATATCACTCTCTGAACTGAGAGAATTATTTTATAGGATATCAATTGTATCTTCTACACGATGTTTGTCACCTGCACACCGCCGGTATATGTAGTATATGTATATATATATATATATATATATATATATATATATATATATATATATATATATATATATATATATATAAATATATATATACATATATACATATAAATATATATATATATATATATATATATATATATATATATATATATATATATATATATATATATATATATATATATATATATATATATATATATATATATATATATATTAGATGTACACTTTTCAGTATATATACAATAGGAAATATCCATCTCTCGGTATATATACGTTAGAAGATATGTACATCTTGGTATATACACCTCTTGGTGTATATATTTTTGCTCATTGTACTTGAAAACGTACATATGTTAAGGATAAAGTATTAATCTAATTAATAACGTACTATTATTTATTATTTTTTATTTCCAATATTGGCATATTATTATTATTAATAATAATATTTTCTTGCGATAGTGGAAGTAGCTTGAGAATTGACAGCAACTGTAGCAGCAGCAGCTGCAGTAGTAGTAGTAGTAGCAGTAGTAGTAGTAGTAGCAGTAGTAGTAGTAGTAGCAGTAGTAGTAGTAGTAGCAGTAGTAGTAGTAGTAGCAGTAGTGTAGTATTTGTAGTAGTGGCAGTAGCAATAGTAACACTAGCTGTAGTAATAGCAGCTGTAGTAATTTAAAATATATTATATAATTATTCAATTTTTTTTTCTTTACTGTTATTATTCTCATTACTGTTGTAATCAACATATTTTCTTCTTTTCTTCTTCTTTTTCTTCGTGATTTTTGCAATCTCTTTTTTCTCTTTTTTCTTCTTCTTTAAAGAATAACAATAATAATAATAATAACAAAAATATCAATAACAATAATAAAATATTAATAATAATATTGAATATAATAATAATATAATAATAATAATAATAATAATAATAATAATAATAATAATATAATAATAATAATAATAATAACATAATAATAATAATAATATAATAATAATAATAATAATAATAATAATAATAATAATAATAATAATATATATTATTATTATTATTATTATTATTATTATTATTATTATTATTCCAGTCATTATTTTGTTATTTCCTACAATACAATATATATGCTAGTATCAGTTATAATGATTTGCTAAAACCAGAGTTACTAACTAACCTTACAGCTCAACTGAGCCACAGTAATAATTTGTAAACTAGATTCACAAAATGAAAATGAAATGCCAATATTGACACTGAACGCCAGACACTGCAATAAAGTGAAAATTAACCACAACATAAACATGGATCAATAAAGAAATAAACTGAAATAAAAGAAACTCTAATGGTAGGTTTTTTTTGGGGGGGAGGGATGACCCCTGGTGTTGTATGCGTCAAGGAACGGGTCAAATGCTTCCTGATCAGTTTTGGTCGTATGACTGAGACCTTCTACTGGATTACCGGTTCACCCCATTAAAAGAATGTATACAGTCTTCAGATCACATTATGAGGTCTTTGAATACCTTTTGTAGACAGGTAATGATCGGGGCATCTTG